CGTCCCGAGTTGTCCGCCCTCTCTCTTTTATGCCCATCAGGCCCCCCCCTGACCTGCCCCCATTCTCCCCCCCCCACACACACAGGCACCCCCACCTCCATCCCCGTCATGGCCATCACGCGCCGCATCGGGCAGCAGCTGGCGGACGCCGTGGGGGCGGGCAAGGCGCTGACCATCTCCTTTGCGCAGTCCACCGCCCCGGCACACAGCTTCGAGAACCTGGCCTCATACTCGTCGCAGGGTGAGGGGGGGGGGGCGCATGTGGGTGCTTGGGGTCGGCCGGGCCGCGGGTGGCAGCGCTGGGAGTGTGGTGTGGGGGCACTGGCTGGCGGGTGTGCGGGCGGGCTGCGAAAAACGAGCAGTGCGCTGTGGGGCGCTGTGGCGGCAGGGGTTCGGCGCCTCGCACGAGCCCCATGCCGTGCTCCCGCCCGCCCCCTTCCCGCACATCACCGTACCGCCCTGTACCGCTCCTGTACCACAGGCCCCACCCTGGACTACCGCGTCAAGCCCGACATTGTGGCCCCCGGCACCATCACCTCCGCACTGGTGGGCGACGGCAGCGCCCAGGACTGCGGCGTCACCACCATGGCGGTGAGGCGCGGCGCTGGGCCTGCCTCTGGTGCTTGTGTGGGTGTTCTGCTGCTGCCGCTGTCAGTAGGGGCGGTGGGCCGGTCTCAGCATATTGCAGTTGCAGTCTGGTTTCGGCAAGAGCAAGCTTGCATCGCAGAGTTGGCTGCAACCTTGTGTGGCTGCTAGGGCTGGGGGCGGTGGAGCGGTGGGCACGGGGGCGGTTGCTGCACGGCCGCCAGCTGGGTGCTGCCGCTGCCAGCCTGCACGGGAGGCCTGCTGGGCAGCCGGCTGCTCCCTGCCTTACACATCCATCCACCCGCCTCCCGCACCCGCCTCCCCTGCAGGGCACCTCCATGGCCACCCCCGTCACCGCCGGGTCCGCTCTGCTGCTGCGCCAGTACTTCGCAGACGGCTTCTACCCCTCTGGTGGGCTGTAGTGCTGGCAGGGGTGCTGGCGGCGCCGCTCTGGGGGTGCCGCCGTGCAGCCGGCGCTACACCAGCCTGTAGCGGCCTGCAGCGGCCTCTATGCCTGCAGCCTGCAGCATGCGAATGCAGCTGTGCTTCACGCGCCCGCCTGCCCGGCGCCGCATCAATGGCCTGGGCACCCGCCAACGCCCGCCCGCGTGCATCCCCTGCAGGCAGGAAGAACCCCGGCGACTCCGTCAGCCCCTCTGGCGCCCTGCTCAAGGCCGTGCTGCTGGGTGGTGCGGCCACCATTGGCGGCTTTGAGGCCGACACAGGGCTGCCCGTCGACCCTCCCCCCTCCTTCCGCCAGGGCTTTGGCCGCGTGTTCCTGGGTGGGTGGGCGGGCGGCCGGGCATTTGCTTTGGCGGACTGCCGAGTGGTCTCGCTGGGCGGGCCTGGCGTCATGGCAGGATGCCGCTGCAGGCCGGCCGCGGCTGCCTGCGAGGAGCGCAGCCTCGACTGCCTGCTCCTCTCCCCGCCCCCACCCCACACCCCTGCAGGCAACTCGGTCTACCTGGCGGATACGCCCGGCAGCAGGCCGCTGCAGGTGGTGGACGGGGTGCCCATCAACCAAGGTGGGTGCTGGCCGGCCGCCGCCACCGCCGCCGCCGCCTGCGTGCCACGCCGCGCTGCAGCTTGGGGCGGCTGGCGACGGCTGCTGGCGGGTGCCTGGCGCTGTGTGGCCACCGCCGCCGCTGCCCGCTGCCGCCGCTGCCCTGCCGGCCGCACGCCACAGGGGAGACCCACTCCTACTGCATCCGCGCCAACGGCGGCCCCCTCTCCATCACCCTCGTGTGGACAGACTACCCCGCCTCCCCCATGGGTGCGCTGAAGCCCCCTCACCCCACAGCCTCGCTGCCGCTCTGCTAGCCTCGCTCCCGCGGCCGGCGCCTGCGCTGTCGCCAGCGCAGCACCCGCGCCGCCTGCTGCGCTCTTGGGATGCAGTCGTCCACTCCCCGCCCCACCCACCCTGCATGCATGCAACCTGGCCTCCCTGCCGCAGCCGAGAAGGCTCTGGTGCACGACCTGGACCTGACGGTGCGGGCGGCGGGGCTCAACGGCATCCCGCTGCTGGGCAACGGCGGCTCGGTGGCCGACCCCAACACCCCCGACAGGTGCGGCTTGGGAGGGCGGGGGTGCAGGAGGGCGGGTGGGGCTGTGCGGCGGGGACGGTGGGTGCCTGTGGCAGGAGTGGGTAATGCGGTCTGCAACAGCCTGCTCCAGCCGCCTCTGCCTGCCCCCACCTGCCGCCCATCTGCTGCCTGCTCCTGCCGTCCCTGCAGGGAGAACAATGTGGAGCAGGTGGCTCTGTCGTCTATGCCGCCCGGCCTCGTCTCCGTCACCGTGTCTGGCTTCACCATAGTGGATGCGGCGGGCACGCCGCAGTACGCTCTGGTGGTGAACGGCGACTTCAAGTGAGGGGCGGCTGCTCTGTTCTGAAAAATAGAGCGCGCCGCATGGACAGGCGTGTGCCTGTGCTGAGCTGCATGCAGGCGCGGTGATGCGGGCTGTTGCAAGCTGGTTGCATCTGAGGCCCTCGCGCTCACACTTGCCCCGCTGCAGCGGCACGCTCACCAAGCCCGGCACCGGCAACGACAACCCGCAGTGCACCATCCTGGTGGCAGGTGGGGCGCCCGCCCGCCCGCCCGCCCGCCCATGCATGCAGTGCATCGCCTCCCGCTCGCTTCCCCCGGTCCATACCCCCCAACTCCTCTGCTTCACGTGGTCCCCTTTGCACCGCTTGCAGCCATCTCTGCCGGCCCCAACGGCATCACCTCCCAGAACCCAGTGGAGTTTGACTTTGGGGTGCAGGGAGGCAGCAGCGCAGGTGAGCGCAGCGGGCGGCACATCCTGACGTGTTGTGCTGGCAGCTGTAGAGTGGCTGGCTGCAAGCGGCCTGCGCTGCCAATCTGCGGTCTGACGCTCGGGCTGAGCTGCTGACCTGCATCCTCGGCAGTCCGCCGCTGGGCTGCAGGCATCAATTTTGAGTGCCGGCTGGCGGACAGCACCGGCAACCTCACCTCGCCCACCAACCACGACTGGCGGGTACGCTGCTGGCGGCGGGCGGGGCGTGACCGCGCCATCCGCTGCGAGTGGCCGCCGCCGCTGCCTGACTGCACCGCTACCCACACCCGTACACGTATCGCCCCGCCCTCTGCAGGACTGCGTGTCGCCCACCCTGTACGCCTCCCTCCCAGACGGCGCCTACCAGTTTGCCGTGCGGGCAAAGGTGGGTACTGCCGCCGCCCGCGCTGCTACCGCTGCAGTCACCGTTGCCGCTGGTATTTCACATCATATGTGTATGCGTCACCCTTGCCTGCCTGCAGGGAGAGGACATTGCCACCACCCAGAACTTTGTGCTGGACACGACGGCGCCCATGGGTGAGAGGCGGGGAGCCGGCGCAGGATGTGGGGGCATCACCTGGGCGGCCTGCACGGGGCTGGCCTCGGCTTGACGTCTCCTGCTCCACGCTCCCCGCCCGCCACCGCTGCCGCCGCTGCAGTGAGCTTTGCCGCCGACTCGCTTCAGAGCGGCGCCGCCACCCCCGAGCCCACCGCCAACCTGACCTTTGACGGCAGTGACGCCACCGGCGTCTCCTTCACGTGCACCCTGTCCGCCAGGTGGGCCTCTGGTGCGGCCGGTGTGTGCACTCTGCTGCATGGCTGGCTAGCTGGTGTTCCGGCTGCCTGCCTGCCTTCCCCGATCTGCGCCAGTGGCGCTCAAACCGTCTGGCCCGCCCGCTTGCTTTCCTGCAGCGGTACCGTACCGCTGCAGCCAGAGGTGTACAGCGGCACCACCAAGATGAACATGCAGCAGGTGGGTGGTGGGTGGGTGGCTTTTTTCTTCCAGGGGGTGGAGGGCAGCGAGCGCTTGCAGCATAGCCAAGCCGCCTCATGACCGGGTGCTGCTCAGTTGTCTCCTGCCACAGCCTCAACACGCCACGCCCTTCCCTGCCGCCCTGCCACCCTGCTGCAGGTGACCCTGGGCCAGGCCTACAACTGCACCAGCCCCCAGGTGCTGCACTGGCTGCTGCCGGGCACCTGGGCCTTCTCGGTGGTGGGCGCCGACCCGGCCGGCAACACGGCGCCGGCGCAGCAGGTGGAGTGGACCGTGGAGTATGCAGAGGCGGCGGGCATGTACACGCGCTTCCTCAGGTGTGTTTGTGTGTGTGTGTGTGATGGGCGGGTGGATGCGTTCCTGGAGGGAGGCTAGCTAATGTTGGTTGGCTGAGCGCGTCGCGCCTCTGCCGCTCACCGCCGCCACGTCTCGGCCCCGCTGCGCCGCCATGCAGCGGCCCCTTTGGGCTGCAGCCCAAGGAGAACATGACCTTCACCTTCACAGACCTGGATTCGGCTGGGCAGGCGGCGCAGGTCTTCTCCGCGCACCAGTGCTGGCTGGAGGCGGTGGGAGGTGGGTGGGCGGCGTTGGTTGTATGTGGGGGGGGGTGCGCTCCCATTTCCGGCGGACTCCCAGCTAGCTCTCAGTAGCTCCCAGCACTCTTCAAAGCAGGCACGTCTATCAGCGCTGTGCTGCTGGCTGCCAAGCTCCCTGCCTGCTCGGTTGCCCGCCGCTGCAGGTGCCTCTGCGGCGGCATACGTCGACTGCACCAGCCCCGTGGCGCTGCCCGCAGACACCAAGGTGGGTGTGGCGCATTGCATCTGGCTGCGGGTGCAGGCGCTGTGTGCTGGGTCCGCCACGCTCGGGCACACCCTGCATTGGCTGTCTTGCCACCGACACCAGGCCTGCCCCTGCCTCCCTCGCTGTGCCTGTGCAGGATGGCTCTTACCACTTCCACGCCCGCGTGGCTGGCGCCAATGGCGCCGCTGGCACCGAGGCGCTGTCCACGTTTGAGGTGGACTCGGTGCCGCCTGAAGTCAGCATTGCAGGTGGGGCGCTTGTGGACTGCCTGTCCCAGCGCGTAGCAGCCCGCCCGCCCCGACCTGGGGAGCCCTGCAGGCTGATGTAGCCACGGCAGCCCTGCCGCTCCACACGGCCCTGCCTGCTGCTCGCCTGCAGAGCCCCCCGGCGCCCCCTCGTCCCCCATGCTGCGCTCCAACGCCACGTCGGTTGCCTTCAACTCCAGCGAGGAGGGGGTGTCCTTCTACTGCGGGTGAGGGCGGGTGGAGGAGGGACGGTGGCGGCGGCGCTGCTGTCATGCGCCTTCTGCTTTGTCCGCAGGCCAGCGCTGCTGCTGACTGGCTCCCGGCCGCCCTCCTCTCTCCGTCCCGGACAGGCTGTCGCGGAGCGATCCCGGCGCCCCAGCGCCGGCGGCCCCTGATGCAAGCGCCTACTATTGGTGCACATCCCCGGCTGCCCTCACCAACCTGACAGACGGCAACTATATGTTTGCCGGTGGGTTGGGGGGAGGTTGCACTGCAGCAGCAGTAGCAGCAGCATGGCTGGATCACAACAGCGGCATGCGCCTGCCTTGCTGTACAGCGCTCCGCCCACATTCCACACTGCGCCTACCCTGCAGTGTACGCTGTGGATGGTGTGGGCAACCAGGGCAAGCCCGCCACCTCTACATTTCTTGTGGACATCACGCCCCCCGCCTTCTCAGACATCAAGTGAGCACGGGGGCGGCTGGGCAGCGGCTGGCAGTGCCGCCCATAGGCTGCTGCAAGTGTGGCAGCCTCCGCTGTTGGGGCTGTCAGGTGGCGCCCTGCTGAGCCCTGCCGCCGGTCCCTGCCATCCCTTACTACAGCGTACCCACCGCCACCGCCCAGCCGGAGATAACCGTCGCCTTCACCGCCACTGACTCTGGGTGAGCACACAACGCGTGCCAGTGTGCCGCCGTCCGGGCGTGCCCTTGCCCAGCGCTTGCAGCAGCTGGCATTGCCGTCCTAATGGAAACTGTGTGCTGCCGCCGCCCCGCCACCGCCCCACAGGTCTGGCATCAACAACGTCACCTGCCGCTTCCGCTCGCTCTCCCTGGCGGACGGCAGCCCTGCGGCGGTCGCCGACCAGGGCGACGATTCGGAGGAGGAGTCTGACTGGCAGCTGTGCACCAGCCCACAGAAGTACAGCGGGCTGCAGGAGGGGCGGTACGGGGTGACGCTGCGCGCCTCGGACAAGGCCGGGCTGGCCTTCCAGGTGCTGCTGCTGCTGCTGCTGCGCCGCTGCCATGCGTTCCTGTGCCGGTACCCTGGCTGGCTGCTCAGGCTCCCCTCCTGCTGATTCATGTGGGTGCCCTGCCTCCCTCTTCAGCCTGCCACTCTGTTGTGTGCCGCCCGCCCTGTCCCTGCCGCTGCAGACGGAGGAGATTGAGGTCTTTGTGGACTTCACACCCCCCACAGTCAGCACCGACGGCCTGCCGCCACTGTGAGCCGGGCTGCCGTACCGGCGCAGCCTGGCCCCTGGTGTTGCTTTTGCCGCTGCCAGCAAGCCCTGTGTTGCTGTTGCCTGCCCACCGCCCACCCCTCTCTCCCCCAACTGCACACCCTGGTGCAGCGGCGAGCCGGTTGCCTCCTCTGTCACTTTCCACCTGGCGGAGCTGACCAGCGACCCCGCCGACTCCTACTCCAACATCTCGCTGTACCAGACGCTGGTGGAGGTGAGGCGCAGGGCGGTGGTGGTGGGGTGGTGCCTTGCTTGGGGGCGGCGCCAGCTGGTCGGGCGTCTCTGTTAGCATCATATGGCAGCGGGGTTGCACATGTACAGCTCAGCGGCGGCTGGTTGCTGCATTTCAGCTGTGAGAGCCGCGGCCCTGTCCCCTGCACGACCCCTCCTTGCAGACGGTGCCAGACGAGGCCACATTCGGCAACCTGCAGCTGGCCATCCAGGGTGGCGACGCGCCCACCACCGGCGGCTCCTCTGTCACCAAGACGCTCAACGGCACCGGCGCGCTTGGCCGCCGCCGCCTGCTGGTCGAAAGCGGCTCTGGCGGCGCCGATGCCACCACTGTGCCGTCCAGTGCTGTGGGCAGCTGGGCCAACTGCACTGCAGAGTGCACTTACGAGGTGGGGGGGCTGATGGGCTGCAGCCGGTCGGCAGCCTGCTGCAGTGATGTGCACGCGGGGTCCGGCCGCCAGGTGTCCGTCTGCAGCACGTCCCACATCCTTCCCGCCCTGCTGCTGCCCTGCCCTCCCGCAGGGCCTCTCCACCGGCTTGTACAGCATCCGGGTGCGGGCTGTCGATGCTGCAGGCAATGTGGGCAACGCCACAGAGAAGTATCCGTTTGAGGTAGGTGGGGGCACGAGGGCGTGGTTGTGGGGCGGCAGCTTGATCCACTCCCAATAGCTGAAGTTGCTGCTGGGTGTTGGCAAAGTGGTAAAGCTGGAGCTTGGTGTGGCTGGCAGCAGCAGGAAGCAGCGCAGTGTAGCTCTATGGCTGCCCATCACGCACTGCCACCCCGGCTGTCGCTGCTGCAGGTGGACTCCTCCATCGGCTCCACACCCTTCCCCACCTGGGCCATCATCGCCTGCGCAGCGGGCGGCGCGCTGGCCCTCGGCACGCTCGCATACTTCCTTTGGCGGTGCTGCTGCGCGGCACCACGCCGCACCAGCGGCGCACCGCCCCAAGGCGCCATGCACAGCCCTGGTGAGTCCATGTCACCGTTGCCACAGCCGCTGCTGACGCCGTGTGGGAGATATGCAGCCTGTTGTCTTGCACAGTTTTTTATGTTGCGGCCTGCCCCATGCCTGTGCCACCCTCCCCGATGACTCCAGCAGCGGCCAGCAGCACCTACACGTATTCGCCCGGCAGCCGCGCCTACACACCCTACAGTCAGGGGTACTCTCCAGGTGAGATTGGTGTCTGCTGGCCAGCTGTGGCAGGCACCAGCCCAACCAGAGCGCTAGCGCGCAGTTCCGCTGCCGCTGACAATGCTCCGACTCCACGCAGGCAGCTACCCCCCCCCCCCGTGGCAGGCAATGGCGGCAGCGGCGCTTGGGGTTATGGCGCTCAGCAGCCGCCCTATGCAGCCAACGGCTACTATGCCAACGGGTGGGTGTTCCGCCATTGCTTGTTTGACGTGCAACATATGGGGGTGCGACGGGCTGCTGTGTCTGTGTGGCTTTGCATGCTAAGGAGCGCCTACCTTCCCGTTTGTGTGTGTGCAGGCATGCCAACGGCCACGGCGTCAACGGACACCCTCCCGGCAGCGCCGAGGCCCTGGGCATCACCCCACACACAGATCCCATCGAGGCCCAGCAGCTGGCGCTGGCGGCAGCCGCTTCTCAGCGCGAAGCTGCTCGGCGCCAGCCCTCACGCACACCTTCTCGCGCTCCCTCGCAGCATCACCACCTGCCGCCTGGCGCGGCCGCGCCCCGTCCGCTGGACGAGGAGCGGCAGGTGCGCCTGGCCATCGACGCGTCGTTGCAGGAGCAGCAGGCACGGACGCGACGGGAAGCGGAGGATGCTGACCTGCGGGCGGCCATCGAGGCCTCGCTCAGGTGCGCTGGCGTGGCGTCGGTGTCTTGCAATTGCTGAGCATTGCACTTGCTGGCGGGGTGTGTCATTATCCTGCCGCCGCTTCATGTTTGCTGTCTCCATGGGTTGCCCCGTTCCACGCAGGGAGCAACACTCGCGGCGCCAGTCAGGGCAGGATGGCTGGGCCAAATTCAGCTCCTGAGACGGCTTTGCGTCCATGAGCGCCTGTTGAGAGACTCGCAACGCAATACCCCAATGATATACACACTTTTTACACCCGCTGCTCCTTCTCTTACCAATTTCACCCACACCGCAGTTCTACTTGTCTGCCTTCCCTCCCTTCCCCAGCTTGTGTGCTTTCCCTGGCACACGTGTGCCCCAGTTGGAGCGCTGCTAGCAACCGTTGAATTCTTCCCGATCTGTTTGCATATATTCGCGTTTCATACATCTTTGTGTGCGCTGCCGCCCAATGTGACCAACAGTTGGCGCCATAATGTTGCCGGCTCCGCCGCCCAGCTGCTCTGCAGCGGCGCGTGGCTCTCGAATTTGCAGGAGATTGGGTGGCGGCAGGCTTGTTGGGAAGAGCGTTCAGTGTGTGAGCGGGCAGACATTACTGCCAATTGTGGAGCAGGTGTGGTGCGGTGAGAGCAAGTGGGTTGGACATGGAGGTGGGGATTAAGGGTAGGCGGCCTGCCGCCGACCGGCAACAAGGGCAGTGCGCGGAATTACGGCTGGGTGTAACCGTTGACTCATGGCGGCGTGGAGGGTTTGTGCACCGTGGGAAGATTAGGGTTTTCTAGGATTTTTAGGAGCTTAGCATCCTTGGACAATTGCCCCCCCACAGAAAACATTGAGCCCCAGCCTTTGTGGGCATGTGGGGAGAGCAGTGACTGGTGCTGGTTCACAAACTGGGCATGCAAGTGGTGGGCAGTGACTGGCTGACTGGTGGTGTGCATTCGCCGCGTGCAGTCGCCGCGGGCGACTCGGCGCACGCGGCGCGCTTCCCCACCTCATGCATGTTTGCTCACCAGAACTTTGTGATGGGGCATCCTGCTGACCAGCTGCCATTGCTTCAGCACTGCAGCAGGGAGAGGGTGTGTGGTAGGGTGGCTGAGCAGGGCTGTCCCAGCTGTGGTGTGACAGCGGCGCGCGATGACGCGGTGGCGTCGCGCGCCACCGCCGCCGCAAAGGTGCCAGGCACCCCTGTCCCTGCATGACTGCACCTCCCAGCCCATTCCAGCAGCAAGAAGTAGTTCCAGGGAGCATATGTGTGCAGCAGCAGACAGCAGAGGCTGCAGCAGACCACTCGCGCGCGCCGCGCGGGTCGGTGCGCGAGCGGGGCGGCGCCGGGCCCACCCCATCCATGTGCAACAGCAATGCATGTGAAAGAGCACCCCTTCTGCAGCCATCACACTGGCCTCCTGCCCCCACAGAGTGCATGGGCAGTGGTGCAGGCAGGTGCAAGCCAGTCCAGGCATCTGTCGCGGCGGCAGCGCAGGCTGGCGGCAGCGGCGGCGGCAGCAGGGACCCCCACCTGGCCGGCGACGGCGGTTGTTACGGCGCGTGCCACTGGCTTCAGGGGGTGTGGCAGCTGTCGTTTTGAAGGCGATGCAGGCTGCTAGCCGTTTGTGGAGCACGGCGAGCAGATTGGCGGCGATCGGGCCCGCCGCTTGCTGCTGCCGCTTGTATCAGGCTCCTGACAGCTGCCCCAAGTTGCTGGCGCAGCGCCTGTGCTTCACCAAGCTCTGCCCCAGCGCCGTTCCGGA